AACCTGAAGCGATGTTACCCAACGGTTCATCATATCTGTCGAGACGCTCTCTGAGCACAGTGCAGACACCGAACTCGCCAGTGGCTGAGTGGCAGGAGTTCCCTGAGATCCGGATTGGCCCTCATCGGGCGGACCCGCCTGGCACCAGATCTTGATGTGGAATCCGCTCCAAGCATACGTGGAAGTGGCTGGCTGCCTGCTGGGTCTTCTTCTGCTTGTGTTGACTTTCCTGGCTGAAGAAACGCCTAACTCTGTAGCCTTTAACAGCTTAACCCTTTCCACAACCGGAACTGTAGGATCAGCTACACTGAAGCCTTCTTGGCCTTCTTCTTGTCCTTGTTACACTGACGCTGACAGCGCGGCAGTCAGGCTTCAAGACAGCAAGCAGACATAAGCAGAGCAGACTGGATCTCAAGCCCGATACGGGGCCGCCAAGAAGACGATTCGCTTGCTTGCTGCAGCCTGCGCTGGGAGATTCTGACACAACACACAAGGACTCTGTTTGTTCGTTCAAGGCGTGCTACGGCTATGTCTGTAAGTCTACGTACTATGAACTGCTATCATCCCAGCCGCTGTTTAACAGCTTCGCATAATCTGCATCTATCACAACCTCTCTTTTCTATCTCTTTTCTAGAAATTCAGATTGTGCACAAACTGCTTTACCCCAACTCGTCAGGAATTTGCTTACCACAAAGCGTTGGAACATACATGGGGTTTCACGGTTTCGCCACTTAAGGGATTTTTTCCTGGGCTGAGGACTACATGCTCATTTGCTGGTACGAGGAAACCTCAATCGAAACAACTCCATCTGAGGCAGGCGCTCAAGGCCAGCCGTTGCAGAAAGCGCTCTACAGGCTCCTCAAACCAAATGCTTCACCATGGGAGTATGAGAGTTGATGTCAAAGTCAGTCTTTTCAGGAAAGTTCATATGGACAGCCAACCAGCATAGGAAGATATGTCTTCACGACGACACTGCGAAAGGAGATTGTGGGCAGCAGAGGGATTGCAGCTAGCCTACGCAATGCAACGCTCCTTTTGCCTCACCGCGCCTTGAGCCAATCAAGTCAGTCGCATGACCTTCGGAATGCTGGTCAAGGGTGCACAGCAAAATACTGAGGAATACTATCACAGTCCCCCCAAATTAAAGTTGACCAGAATTCCGTGCCTGCCCGCTCATACTCCTTTAGGAGCCGAGCAACACTTGCTGCGTTGCTACGCAGCTTGTTCCTGCTGTCTGAAGCCCTTCTGACCAGCTCCGCCTGGACGTCGACCAAGCTCAGACGACCTGACTTCAAGAAGTGGTCGGTAGCGCCGCTGGCCTTCAAAGGATCCGCCTTGGTAAGAGCGTCCACAACCATCTTCTGATGCGGAACCCATCTCACCATGGAGCGCGTCTCCTGGAGGTCTCTCACAATGATAGCCAGCTCAAGGGAACTCCGCCGATCTTGCCGTCCAGCAGGATGCTCCTTCTGCAGACTGTCGAAGAGAGACTTTGCGTCCGTCACGGAGCACTGCGGCTGGCGACTGCATGCCCGAATGTCCAACTTCATGACAAGCATGTGGGGGGAGAGTGAGCTCCTCCACTCCTTCAGCTCCACATCGTGATGAGTAGCATCTCGCATCATCACTTGCAGCCAGTCAACTTCAGCAATGCTCTGGAGCATCGCTTGAGTCTCACCGCCGAAGGTGGAGAAGACCTTGCGTTTGAGCTTGCTGCTCCTCCACGCCAGAGGACTGGCTCGAACCTGAAGGTTTCCAATCGGAAGCGTCTCAGCAGCCAGCACCATCCAGGCACCCTGAGTACTATCCGAGGGGAGGCCTTCCTCGTCCAAGGTTTCATGCTTGGCCCCAATGCCGCCCGCGTCGGAGATGGCAATGAAGGAGAGGTTCTCGGGATCCATTCGCCACAAAGTCAGGGGCCTGGGCCTGGAGGCGGTGTTCCGCAGGAAGTTGACGTTCTTGTTGACGGTGAGGACGTCCTCGACGGTCGCTGTCGCCAACTTGGAGGCCATGATCGATGCCAAGCCACTCATCTCGGGTCTGGACTCCTTCGCTACCCAGTTGATCCGGTAAATGGTGGACCTGAAGGCAGAGAACTCCTCCAGAGTCAGGGGGGCGTTCTTCTCGGAGCGACGGCCCTTGGAGAGGGGAACCGGGTGAATCTGCTCCAGGATATACTTCTGCTGGTCGATCAGGATCTTGTCGTCCAGAACCTGGATCATCCGGCCGGCGTACTCCGCGGTGGAGTCCTCCCACTTGCCAAAGTGAAAACGCTTCTCAAAGCACTCACGAAGAGCCAACTTCTTCTCGGGAGCCGCGCTGACGATGAAGTCATCCACCTCGATCAAGACTTGGGACTCGTTCTGGCCCTCGTCGTTGAAGCGCATGTACCAACAAGGCTCAACCAAGTTCCTGGTGTATCCCTGCTCAGTCAGAAAGCGGACTACAGTGGCCCTCCAGGCTGCCGGAGCGTCGTCTAGTCCGTAGACCGGAACTTCTATGACGATGAGGGCTCCTGCCGGCAAGCGAAGCCCCTCGCACGGCTCTGCGAACAAAGGTCCGCCCTTCCTCTGTAATCTATCGCTTTGGCAAAACGCGTTTTTCACATCACAGAAGGAGAAACTGTGTCCTAAGTTCAGCCCCGTCTGCAGGAAGGTGTTCATACCTTCTGTGGATGGGGTAGGTGCGAAGGTCACTAGCTCAGCTGTATCGGGGTCTACGTGACCATGGGTGCACCATCTCGATTTGGCTTTCCAGCACCCGACCCCAGGCTGAGGTTTCTTCCTGCGCACCATCCTGCTGGACAACACGCGGTCTGGATACATCCGACGAAGCCGAGCAGCTTCCTTGCCGATCACCACGCGCACCGCCTTGGTCTTCACGATGGCATCCCATTCGATGACATCGCTCTCGTCAAAGAGCTTCTTCTCCTCCAAGTTCAGTTTGCGGATGTCTATCTCGTCACTTCGGGTGGCCAGGAGCGTCAAGGCGGTGGCATCCTCGTTGAAGACGAACAGGCTCCATCCTTCTGGGCGTAGATGACGTTGCCGGAGGAGATCTTGACCTTATGACCTCAGGAGGATCAAGTGGGTCTTCCAAAGGGTCCCCACTTCCACGTCCACGCTCAACTGCTCGCAAAAGGCGATGTAGCGGCCTCCTTCAGCAATGGATGGGAGAGCTCCACTACGGTGTCTGGTTCCTGAGCCGGCTCCTGAACTGAAGATCTCCGGGACTGCGACGCCTCGGCAGGTAGAGGTCCAGGAGGATCATGGTGAGGAATCAGTTCTGGAGAGTCATGAGGTACCGGAGCTTGTGGTAGTAGACCAGGCAGAACAGGAGGAACTTCTTGAAGTGCTGAAAGAGGTCCAGGAGCGTAGGCCGGTGCTGTAGAGGCGGCAGGCGCTTGCCCTTCAAGGGGTATCGCCTCTCCAGAGGGGAGATGCTCCACGCGGGAGAGCTGCCTTCTGTGGGAGGTCCTTCGCGCGCAACATCCACTGCTCCAGTCTGGGCGCCCGACACAATCTTCCGAAGAAGTTCTCCATGACTCGGATCCGATGCCAGCTGCCGTCCAAGGACCTCAGAAGGAAAGGCAGGTCGCAGCTGCTCTGGAGAACATCGCCAGAGTCGTGTCCGCATAGCCACCCAAACCATTGAAGGCGTCTGAAGCACCACAACTCCAGGACCCACCCATCGAGAGACTGGGTGAAGCAGATCACCAGGCTTGCCTTTTCGGAAGCAATACACCCACTGCCCAGGAATCCAAGTGCGCACAGGGGTGCTTGAAGTTCGGACCGCCCGATGTAATGCCTCCTTGCTGGTCTCAGCTAGGGCGAGTTGCTTGGCACGCTCCCGGATCTCATTCCGTCGGCGGAACTCAGCGCCCGCCTCGTCAAGGCCAGCTGGGTCGTGGTATGCATCACTGGGTACTTGAAGACCAATGGAGTTATCGGCCAACAGCTCACCTGGTACTCGAGGAAGCTCGCCAAAGACCAGCTGCGTAGGAGTGTAGCCGCCGGCGTTAAACCAACGATTCTTGGCTGCCACCAGGGAGGTGAGGAGCTCGTCCAACTCATCAAGGTTGGTGGCAATGCCCTGGCCTGACTCCAGCTCCTGTGATAGCTTTTGCTTCAGCCAACCCCTGTGCCTTTCAGCTCGAGAGTTTTGCCATGGAGATTCTGGAGCTGTAATATGATGAAGTACTCCAAGTTGTTCTAGACCTCGCTCGAAGCGTCCAAGAAATTCCCTGCCATTGTCCGTGATGATCAGGGAAGGCGGTCCCAGAAAGCGAGCCCATGACAAAAGGAACGTGCGCCAGGTCTCGTGGGACGTGGGTAATTCTTCCTGTCCCTGGTATTCGCTGAGCGATCTGGTAGTTGGTGCCATGGTCCACCATGTTTAAGACAGCCTCTTTCACGCCCTTGAAGTCAACGTAGAAGACGTCCATGCTGAGCACACGGTTGAAGGAGAACACTCGAGGGCACTGAGCTTTACGTCGGTGATCTGGGCCTCGCTTGATGGCACAGGTGTCACAGCGGAACTCGTCCTTGACGTACTTAAGCGCGCGCGGTAGCGCTCCAGCCGCCCGTAGTGTTCGCAGGAAACGTTCCAGTGGTGGACGCCCAGTGTTCTCATGCAACTTCTTCACGAGGGCCTTTTGGCTTTCAGTGACCATGTCCTGCGGCGCAAGAGCTTCTGGGGCCCCAAGAGCCCGACCTTCCTCCGGCTCCTCGTCGTCCACCACCAGGTCCAAGTCCTCGTAGAACTGCTCGGTCGTTCCAGTCGGAGTCGAGCCAGCGCTATCCTTCCACACTGCCGGTCGAGATCCACTCGGCAAAGTGGTCGTGTCTCGTCGTAGTCGGCTCCGACGTGCCAGGGGAGAACCCGTAGTCTCGAAGATGCTGTTCTTGAAGAGGAGTGAGGTCAGCAGCAGACCTGGTCTGGAAGCCGGTGATGGTCCAGCGATCTCCACGCCATTCTTCGACGCCGTGCCACTTGCAAGCGTCAAAGTCCACCATGCGGTTCTTGTACGCCTGGAGCTTGCCGACGACGGCGTGGGAGTCCTTGCCAACCTTTCGCGAAACATTGCCATGTTCGTCCTCGGTCCACAGCTTGCCGCCAGAGAACTTTCCGAGCGCGACGCTGTAGTTGCGGCCGAGGTTGTTGAGGTCTCGATGATTGCCACAGTGGACGTTGTGTCCAATGCTGAGAGAGGATCGCGGCCCGGCGGCCCCGTGCGCATCCATGAAGCGGTTCAGGTAGCGCGCGGTGTTCCGGAGCTTGTAGGTGGCCAGCGTCATGCCAGAGAACTTGCCATAGGAGTATTGACCCAGCAGGTGCACCTCGCTGGAATCGCCCACGCATTGTCGACGCGTTCGTCGTGAGGTGGAAGGCCACTTGATGGAGCGCAGCAGCTTCAAGCAGGAGGCCTGAGAGAAGTCTCCTTGTTCCAGAAGACGATGCGCGAGCATCTCCTCTTCACTCTCCTCGGAGACGTGGTCGTCGTGGCGCAGCTCGTCGTGACTGAGGTCCTCAGAGGCGATCTCAATGGAGCCCTGGGAGAAGCCTGGTAGATCAAAGTCCCACGCAAAGTTGGAGGCCACGCGCCTGTTCTCACCAGTCAACTGTCTAACCGACACCTGAGAGAGAGCACACACCTTGGCCCATGCGTCCGAGCTCCACAAGGACGTGTCCTCAGGGGCATCAAGAACGAAGTTCCTTCCTTGTCGAAGTTGCTCCTGAGTGGTCTCAAGCGCAAACCCGACCATCACCGCCTCAGTAGCGTCAAAGTCTGAGCAATCCCGCAGAGGAAGTCGAAGGTGAACGGTGCCAGGTCGCTGCTTCTCCAGGAAAGTCCTGAACCGACGTCGGTGGCAACATTCCATCCAGCTTGGGTGGTGAAGGTCTCGTGCGGAGGAGGGGTTCGAAGGCCGTGCTGTCGGACCATGGCAGTTGCCGGAGAAGACTGGAACAGCTCCACGAAGACAGTCCCCAGCTGGTACCTCGTGCTCCGGACATCCGAACATGAGCTCCTCGAGCCGAGGTGCCCACTGCCCAGAAAGGACCGTCACCGCTTGGTTCTCCATTGTTGTCAAATCCAAGCACCGCCGCCAGTGGATCTCGTAGCTCGTGAAGAAGCCGTATAGAGGTCGAGGACAAATCCAGCGCCTGATTCGAGAAGCCACAAAGCTCGAGCTGGGCGCGTGATCTCCAGGTCCACGATGCACCACCGACTGATCTCCATCACGCATCTCGTGCCATAGAACAAGCTCACCTGGAGAGGCCTCTTCATGAGTGGAAGTCACCCAGGGGAGCTTAGTCCATGAAGGTGCATTCCACTCCTCGGCCTCGATCTCCGGTGACGTGCTGCCCAAATCTGGAAGTCTAACCATCCAGTAGTGACAATCCCCACCTGACGAAGTCAACTGCGCTTGCATGCCAGCGGAGATCTGAGCCCAGGACAGCAGCGATGACGTCAAGGACAGCGCCGTAGTCGTCATCCAGGATGGCCAGGTTCTTAAGGCAGGTCGTTGGCGTTGGGATTGGCACTTGGATCGGATACTGCCGACCACTGGCTGTCGGGACTCGTGGGCGCCGCCTCCTCCTGATCCACCTGCATGTCCTCGCGAACCATCTGCTCCACTTGGGCCGTCGGTGGAATCAGAGCGCTGGAGGCCGCAGTGAGCTGCGTCATCTGCAGCATTTGGTTTTGTCCCTGTGCGAGATCCTTCATGGATCTCCCCATCTCCTGCAAGCTCTGTGTCAGGGCCTGAAGCGTGGCAGCCAGCTCCTGAGCTTGCCGCCCAGGCCTTGGCTTTGCTCTTGGGAGCCGGGCCTTGATGTGACTGATAGCTCAGACGTGCCGAACACTTCGAGCACACTGTCCACGTGGCGTATTGGTTCGCCCTTCGCACAGGAACTCCCGGGTGTAGACACTTGGCCGGCTCCTGGCGGCGATCCGTGAGGTACTTCTTTCGCTCCGACACGGGGCTTTTCTGCGTGCGCTCGGCCACTGCCAGGCAGAAGTAGTTCACGCGAATGGACTCCAGGGTGTAGAACATTCGGAGCACCATCTCCTGCCATCGTCGCACCCGACGTGGCCCGCTGCTGGTTCCCGCATCCTCCGTCGAACGAGACGGGTGTTCCATGTTCAGGATGCCGGGAAAGGTTCTCGAATTGGGGACTAGCGAAAGTCACGTTGCCCATGAGGGCAGTTGAGCCTGGAGCCAGCGGGAGAACGTCATGCAGGTCAGTTCGCACTTCCAAGTCTCCTACAGCAGCATGAACTGGTACGTGTTCAGGCGCAGGGACAGCAGCAGCATGAACTGGTGCATGTTTGCGTGCAAGGACATGTGAAGCAGCAACTGGAAGCTCATGAGGTGCAAGGACTGAACGTTCAGAACATGCTATCACATCCTGATCAGTGTCCAAAACCAGAGCTGAAGGCACGTTCAGCGCGCGCTGAGAACACCCTTCCTTTGTGTACGCGGAGGAAGCTGCTGACTGCTTTGCAAAGGCCTCATCCTTAAGACGATACTGCTCCTTGGCAGCCGCCGGCACAGGAAAAGAACCTCCAGGCCACTGAACAAGCTGAATAGCACGATGGCCAGTAGGAAGGTTCGTCATCTTCATCTCTACATCAATAGCCTTAAAGTGGATCCGGTTTGTCACCAGGTCCATCGAGGCTCCTAGGTGCTCCAGGAGACCAACTGAAAGAAGAGGAGGAACTCCGCCCTCAATGACCACAAACTGCACGACTGCAGGGACGCCGCCAGGAGAGATCGGCACCAACATGGTACGCAACACCTTGGCAGCGCCTCCGACGCCGGTGGGAGTAGATGCCGTCGTAGGGACCTCGATGGCGCGAAGTCCACAGCGGGACAGCTCATCCTCAATGGCCAGCATTGCAGCCTCGCCCACGATGTCCTGAGTGGCACCGATGTCCAGAATTGCCATGCCTGAAGGGAGAGCCAGAAAGCTCCAAGATGGGCATCCAGCCTGGTGAAAGTCCTCCAGGATCGCAAAGTTGTAGAAGGAGGCGCCCGTGGCTCCTACAAGAGATCCGCCCAAGTAGCAGAAACCATTCAGCTTCGGGCCATCGCCTGCGGGGTTCTTGGGGTTCCGACAGTCTTCGGCCCAGTGACCACGACGTCCACAAAGTCGACACTTGGAGATCTTCTTGAGTTGCTCCTTGGAGTATCTACGCCGTTGGCCATCCAAGTCGCCGCCTTTCGTGAAGCTCTGGCGGTCCTTGCGGAGCTCGGCCTTGAACTTCTTGTTCTCCTTCCACGTCCGCTTGCGCTTGGGCAGCCTAGCCTGTTCTCCACGACGGCAAACACCAGCGCCGCCTGCTCGGAAGAGAAGTTCAAATCAGACAGCTCGGCAAGCACCGCCTCGTCATCGAGGACGTCCTCCGGAGCGTCGCCAATGTCCTCCTCGTCCTCCGAGTCGTCGTCGGGGTCTGGAAGGTCGAAGTAGCTCTCGTCCGTTCCGGCTGCAAACCCGATCACCCGGTCGGTACGCACGTCCATCCGGGCAATGGTCATGGCCACGCGATCCACGTTGTGATCTTGTCCTTGGAGCAGGGCCGTGAGGTTCTGAAGTCCCTGATCACTGAGGCCGGCTCCTTCACGTAACATCGTGGCCTTGAACTCGTCCGGCAAGGTGATTCTGTAGCTTGCGGCCTTGGTAAAGTCCCGCATTCGGCGAGTGACATACTGTGTGAGGGTTTCATCTCGCTTGCGAACCCCATCCTGCATCACTCCCTTGAATGCGGCTCTCTTATCATCATCCTCGCGAACGCCCGCCTTCAGCTCGAGGACCGCCAAGATGTAGTCGAGGTACTTGTCGGACGCGAGCTGCTCCTCCGTCAGGTGCTCAAAATTCACCTGAAGTTCCCATCCAAGGGTTCGAAGAACCTTCTCCGCCCGGCGGTACAGCGGAACGTCCGTGAGCTTGTTCCACCTCCTGATAGCTGCCGTCCACTGTCTACGATACTGGAAGCCAGGCCACGCAGGAGGATCCGTGAAGTCGCCCTTGTAGCCGTTGCCATTGGTAGAGCTCTGCCAGGGCCACGCGGTCGGTCCACCAAAGGAGCAGGGAGCCCCTGGTCCGGGCCAGCCTGGGCCTCGGCCGCATGAGGTGGTGGTGCCATCGAGGGCCCCGCTTGGGCAGCCGCCGCTGCCTGAAGAGGATGAAGTGAAGGCCACCCGCCAACAAGATCAGGTGGTACTCGAGGACCAGCTGCAGTCGCCGAAGGGGAAGTCCACGGGCATGCCGCCTCGGTCCAAGGGTTCATCGGTCCAGAAGGAACTCCAGGTCGTGAATGTCCAAAGCCAAGACCGGGAGGAGGATGTAGTCCAGCGCTCGAAGGAAGACAACCGCCCTGAGCAGGATCCAACATTGGCATCCAAGAGGCTGCCGCTGCACTTGCGGGAACCCTGGCCGGAGTCGATGAGGAGGCTCCAGAAACGGAAGCTTGAAGGCCTCGAGTTGTAGCCTCAACCAATTCGCGAGCCGCGGCCTGCCAGGGATCACCGTGCCCTTGGAGCGGATCTGGTCCAGGTACTCGATCACCTAGGCCGCCAGACGCCGAAGGGGTCGCACTTAATCGTGTTGTCGGAAGAGTCGAGGGCTGCTGGGCTTCAGCAGCGCCGGCCAAACCGGCCGCGGGATTCTGTTCTGAAGAAATTGCAGGAAAAGAGTAGCTTGCAGGATCGGCCATGTCCCCTGGCCATCCAAAAGCCCCAAACGATTGAGCTCCCCAAGGAAAGTGAGGTGCGCAGTGGTGGTAGTGTCCAGAGAGAGACCCGTTCTCCTCTGGCCAATCTGTTCCGTGAGGTTGCCAATCGTGAAAGTTTCCTGCAGGCGTCGATAGAGTACTGGGGAAGCATGCTTCAGCAGTGAACCCTCTCTGCATAGCGGAGTCGATGTTG